ATCAAAACTCCAACCGATCTCAAGACGACGCAATGGTTCGCTATTTCTTTCAGAGGCCGCAAACGGATCCCGACTTTCAAAACTACAACAAACACAGCCGATGGGCGTTAGGCGACGACTCTGTTCTTGAGGTCTGTATTCGCTCTAACGACGGCTCTCTCTCTCTCTCTCTCTCTCTCTCTCTCATTGCTCTTATCAATTGATTAATCTTATAATAATTAATAATGTAATTTACAGGTGAGGCCTAACGACACCTCAGAACTGGTCTCTGAATTCCAAGCATTGGATATCGAAAACGATGTATGTTTTCAATGTGTTTATCACATAATTGTTTTCCCTTTGAATCCATTTTTAATATTGTTTTTGTTTATCAATAGTTTATTTTTAAGAGTAATTGCTATTTTGTTAGTGTTATAAATGCACTCAATTTATAGCGTATTTTTGTCGCACAATATTTATATTGAAAACACTTTTTATAGATTTATAGCGCGTTTTCGCAAATCCATTGAATTATTAATTAGTTTTTATTTATTACTCTCTCCTCTAAAACTAGTATTAAAGTGAAGGCGAACTTAAAAACCAATGAATTCCTGTCTAATTATTTATTCATTTTGTTGTTGTTTTTTTTTTGGTTAATTAATAAGTATTGAAATTTTAAATATTTATAAAAAATAGTTATGTTATTTAGAGGTCATTAGCATTGAAATGAATGACTAAATAAATATGCGTTTAATGATAATTACAATAATGATGATGTGATTGTATGTAAAACAGGGCTTTGCGTCGACTAAGAAGATATGGGGAATGGAGGAACACAACCCCCAAATGAAACACCCCGACGATCCCAAAGGCCTGTTTCTGGGCGAACCCCAGTGGGGCCGCGACTCGACGTGGAGTACAGGCGGCCATAACGAGAACGCGTCGGATCACGCGGTGTCGCAACCAATTATGGTTAACTCCCGACGGAGTGGTTCCTATCCGGGCAGTGATCAGCCATTGATGTTAAGCCCGCGCTCTACTGACACGGGAGGTCTGGGCGTGAAAATGGTTGAGTACGTGTTGGGCAGTTCGCCCACCGCTAAAGACTTGGACGGAAGAATGCATTCGCGACTCAAAGCGATGGAAAAACATAAACAGCAGATGAAAGGCGGTTACGACGAGTCGAAAATGCATCACAAGGACCCGCATAGCAATGGTATGACAAACGGGACAATGGGTTTGGACGACGAAAATAAGGGGTTTAGCCGAACGCCCGGTTTTAATCAGTTGGACGACGAAGATGTCAAAAATCAAATGATAGTCAACGAGATGTCAAAAATGAAGGGAAGCGATGGTATGCACGTAGGAATGCCCGGCAATATGATGGCCGGCGGTCACGGCGGGCCCCAACACTTCGACTTCGACCCCAATATGAGCATTAATGAGATCCAGTTCGGAGACTATACCTCCCAAATGATCCATTCGATCGATTCGCCCGGAATTGTTGACTACAACAGCCCTTATCAGCGGTCGAACCAACAGACGGGCCAAATGCCGGCTGCAATGCTCGCCTCTCACGCCCAACAATTCAATTTAGCTCAACAACAAAGTCAAGGTATGCCTCCGCACACCAACCCAGGGATGGGCGGTCCAAACGGTGCGGGCAATAATCCATTTCCGCCACAAACGCCATACTACGGCACCGACCCGTTCTCGGCATCGATGGGACACATAATACCTGCGGGTCCGCCGCCGGCGATGTTGGCTCAATACTACGGTATGCCTCCCTGGGGAATGTATCCGGGAATGATTCAGTCCAACCAAGTTCAGAGCGGTTCCACCGCACCTCATATACAACAACAGCAACAGATGATGAGTCGAAGCAACGGCACGCGACCGCTCACACCTCAGGGTCCCAGTGATAACTCCGGGACTCCACAAGCCATGCAAGCGG